GATGTCGGAGACATTTCTGTTGTTAAAAACAAAAACAACAAAAAAATAGAATCTAAAGTTAACCTCCATGAAAAGATTAAAGAAAATGAATGAAAAAATTTTTTTTGTAATTTTATACAGATTACTTTTTCTGAAAATTCAAAAAGAATGAAAGTTGAAACTTCCTTTTCAACGTATTTTCTCGTTCACAATAATTATCTAAGTCATTTTATCCATATAAATTATGATAATCTATATTACTATGAATCTTTCGTCATTAAAATAATTGAAAATAAACAATCAAAGCGAAATAAACTAGTTAATTATAATAATTAAAGAGATATGAAATAATAATGATTTCAGCATGAATAGATCATATAATTAAGTAAACGAATGAAACGAGATAATTAAAAGGTAATAGAATATACGTAAAATAATTATGAAAGATAAACTACGTATTTATACATATTTAAAAATATAAAATATAAAGCAAATAAGAAGGGGTTTTGTGGAGATTGTAGTAATTTCAACAGTTGAGATCATGAGTCACTTGAAGCTGTTAATCAACATATGCTCACTAGTGACTGGCTTCAAGAGGTATTTCCTGGAGTTCTAGTGAGAAACAGTAACCAGTGGAGTTCAACCGGGTCTGTTGTGAGATAGTAACTCACTGATGAAAATTGTGGATGTTTCACTCAATTTCGTGGATTAGTTGAAGCTAAACATCAACACCGTTAAATGCCTTGTTCAGTGATCTAGAGGTTAAGCATTCGCACACGAGACTGATATGTCCAGGGTTTGAATCTTGCCGGGGGCGGGCTCGTGGATGCGCACTATTGAGGAGTCCCACAATAGGACGAAATGGCCGTCCAGTGCATCCATGTTTTCCATGGTGGTCTAGCTTCAATCGACTCATGACCTCAACTGTTGAAATAACCTTATAAGCATATTTATGCAAATTTTAATCAATAAATTCCCTTTACTTTTCCTTCAGTAATCCTCAAATTCAAACATGTACTAAACTGTAGAAACATGTAAATTTTAATCTACTTATATTTACTATCATTGAAAAGGAATAGTTCATTTTTTAAAATAATAATTAATTACTTTTTACCAAGGTGAACACTTGTGATGATGTTGTTTACATGAGAGGTTTTTCAAAAGAAAAATAAAACTGTCATAACTAAAGCAATAGGTCATTGATAATAAACAAAACTTTCTCATAAATGGGAAATGTAATCGATCAATGATAATCTTATATGTGATCGTTTGTTAATGCAATCTATTATGTAATGAATGCATTTTATAATGAATTGATAGCAGTGGATATATACAAACTCTAAGTGACTGAATCAAAGTTTATTTGAATACAAAAACTAGCTACCTTCTGTTGTATATATTCAATGACTAAACCCTTTTAATGAAACTAGGATTATTCTACTTCAAGGCGGTTAAGGTAAGAAATAACAATGATGATATGTTTGATGTCAGTAATATTAATAAATACGTTATGAAAATATTAACGAATGGATTAATATTAAAGTGGTGAGCGCTTTAAAATCTGTGCATGAAGTGTTACGCGGTACCACAGAATTAGTTATGTGAATAGGCAAAATTTAAACACAATGGCAGAAAAGATGCAGGATTTGACTATCAGATATTATGACAAGTCATGGGAATACAATTAGAATTCATTTGAACTAGAATTTTGATCCTTTGATGTTAACACAGGTAAATAGTTTAGTGATATGTGATTTAATGAAGCATGAAGATGTACTTAATGGGAAGAAGAGATAAAAGTAGAAATCGAAGTTATTTACTAGTTCCTTCTTCTTAACGAGGGTGGAAAACACTATTTAGAAATTTTATACGATACAGATGACTTGTATCATCAAAGGTTCTGTTTTGTGTATGAAACGAGTTAGGCACTACGCAATTTTTCAAGACTTATTTTTATTACAGTCAAGAAAACTGGTTTTACAGTAAAGTTTTCAAAAAATGAATGATCAGTCATAAAAATTGTCATTTTTTAAATATTTGTAAATCAAATTGACGGTTATATGCATAAACTTACAGTGACGTTTAGATCAAATATTCACTTCACTATTTCCAAGAAATATTATTTATGTCCTCCTCATCATCATCATTATTATTATTGTTATTATTATTATTATCATATCTTGAATAAATATTGCACTGAAGAAAATCAATGTTATAGTGAATAAGATAGCAAACAAGAAATCATAATGAGTTAAAAATATAAATATGCATTTTCAGCCCATCCTATCAATTTAGGTCATAAACCGACAGTTTAGTAACCACTGAAAATAAAGTAGTACAGCATATGTATTTCATTATAGTTTATAACCTGTCAATGATATACTATTAAGATGATATTGTACTAACTATCAATATTAAATATTTTGAAAATCAGTACAGTATAAGATTTTGAATATGCATTTTTAAAAGATCATAAAATAAGGTTAATCAGGTTTTCATTACATTTTATTATCAATAGTTCTGAAGATTTCATTAGGTAACAATATTTTAATAGTTGAGATCATGAGTCAATTGAAGCTAGACCACTATGGAAAACCTGGATGCACTGGACGACCGTTTCGTCCTAGTATGGGACTCCTCAGCGAAGTCAAATATTTCAATAGTTGAGATCATGAGAAAATTGGAGCTAGACCACTATGAAAAACCTGGAAGTACTATAATATCCATAAGAATCCCTTCTGATATTAATAATATTCCTAATAATCAAGAAATTTAAAGGTTTTCTTTTCTTAAATATTGAGAAATTAAATGTCATTCATTTTTGAAATTAGTTTATGCACTTTTATTTTTCTTTAATTAATCAATGTTAACTTTCACAAATAATATAGTCGTTTCAAGGATGACATATTATGATTTTTATCCTTTCTTATATTATTCATATAAACATTTATGACAAGTATATGCATATGACTATTTCATTAGGAAACTAACATGATTATATTGTGGATAATGCATGAATTAATCCATATAGAAATGATATCTTCTTCATAGTTTCTTATATAGAAGAAGATATTTTATGTAATTAAATGAAGGAAAGAAAGAAGAAACATAATTGTTAATAACATACGTTGTTAGTATTGAAAAAAAAGAAAGAAAATTAATTTACCTGAGTTCATTGAAGCCTAAATTTCTATTTCATTTTCTTTAATTTAATCATAAGATATACCAGAAAATTATAAGACAATTTTAAATTGAACTAATATAGGTCAATATTGAAAGGTTTACAATTATAACGTATATAGTTAACAAGTAAAAGATAAATGAAAGTGAAGTTATTTTCTCTCCAGTTTAAATTCTGGCTTGTATACGAAGTTGTTTTTTTTCTCTCTTAGAAATAAACATTTTTCTTTTGAGAAACTGATGTGTACAAATGTCTAGCAGAAATGGTCAAATGATTATATTCCTTTATATAATTATTCTAGAACATCACAAAGAGTGTTCACAAAAAAACAAAATAACTTGGATGTTAATTTGATCTTTCTATTTTGTCCTATTTTGTCACTTCTTTGAAAAATAATTCTTCATTACTGTTGAAATTAAAATGAATATAAAAATGTTAGTATGCTGATTTACATTTACTGGAATGAAAAAAAAGTGTTCAAACTTTATTCTGTATTGGTTGTTTGAAACTTCCCAATGATGCTTAAGAATGTGATTGATCAGTCTTATGTTGGCATATGTGCATCTTGTTTAGATTGCCTCGATATTACCTTGAATCACTAGTATTATACGCGGAGATGGATGGTGGCTAACATTTGAATCCAGGATACACGTTTCGTCCTATCTGAGTCTCGTCAACCGGATGTACCTGCATTTCAGGATTGATGTTTACTCTATTACTCGAACCTAGTGCTGTTTACTTTGAACGCCATCGAGTTATCTACTTAGCTATTGAGTCACAATCCACCTTTGTTTATAATCGTTTTGACTGAAGGCAATATTGAGGCAATCCAAACAAGATGCACATATGCCAATAACAGACTGATCAATTACAGTCCCAAGCAGTGGAATGATTCAAACAACCAATGTAAAAATGAATCGAAATTTCGCTCCACTGTACAAGCTAGTGATTGTCTGGACTCAGTGGGTAAGCGGATAATACGATAGCGTTTAAAGTAAACGGTACTGGGTTTGAGATCTAGAGTGAACATTAATCCTGAGATGCAGGTACATCCAGTTGACGAGTCCTACATAGGACGAAACGTGCGTTCTGGATTCTACCGCTAGCCACCATCCATCTATGCTTACAATTTTGAAAATATTTTCCAAACGCCTACAATAACGAAAGATTGCAGATAACTATGATTTCTAAAAACACAACATCAAACTAGGCGATACTTATGAAGATTTTATATAACCTGAAGATAGTATTCATCAGTGAATGAAGTCAACAGATGATCCGTTGGTAAACAGTACAAACTGAACTACTGTTCTTCCCATATACATATATATCCCGACATCACTTTGCCATTAAAGCTTTATAGCTACATTTAATAACTGACATTTTATTGAGTAAATATCTTATTTAGTTTCAGTTCCTAAACTAACTTAAATTTAGAAAGAAAGTTGTAGGAAAATTTGTGAAAACTTGAAGTATAAATGAAATTCTTTGTAGATCTTTATTTCAAGTTGATCTACTTATGTAAGTTGATCAAATTTCAACTTAAATTCAGTTTAATTGGGATTCAGTCCTGCCTATTAAGTTGACCACTGTTTGTTTTAAATTTTATATTTATTTATCATTCTTGAACATGTTGTCTAGCTAGGTATTTATACGATATATATCTAGAAAACACACTTATAAAATTCAATTCTTTTAATGTCCAATAATCATTTTGAAATTTCATTACTCAACCAATCATCTACTAGTTAGAATATTTAACTGATATCTGATTGGTGTAAAATTTATCATGAAAATGGAATTATTATTTAAATAGCTCAGGTAAATGTAGAAATATTTTGTAAATTAAAAGTACTTGAAATATGCTGCTTTTACATTTAAATATAGTTTGGTTTTCACTAATACAAAAGAACGTAATTTATAAGATTTCGTTGTATGTAACTTAACAGAAAGCATATTATTGATGAAGGAATGTATTATTCACAATTATATGGCAGAATATTTATTTAATCAATTGAATCTTTTTGACTTCATAACACTTACACTGGAATTTGAGAACAAAGAAATTTTAATTATTCGTCTTATAATATTAATTTTAACTGTCAAGATGCTTTATACAACATCATTAATGAAAGTGATTCCACAGACTCCTAAAAATATTGAATCAGATAAATTCATATTTTCTTCAACTCCAGAAATTTCACATGGAACAAATCGAAGTCGTGATTTTTTCGGTTTAATAAAGAGGCGTCCAACTAATGAAAAAAGTATTTATTCACGTCATCCACTGTATCATCATGCTCCACATTGTCGTCATCAACAGCAACATCAACGTTATCATAGTCATCTACGTAAACAATGTCCATATCGATGTATAACTCATAAACCTAGTACATCAAAATCTCAAATGGCAATTCACAAATCAATAAGTAAGCAACTTTCTTTACCAGTTGAATATACAGATGAGCAAAAATCATTTTATTCTTCTACTGGATTATTACAGACTCATTCTATTTTGGATGATGATATTGAGTCTGGATTAAATATACATGACGATGATTTGCATTCCTGTGTAAGTATACATAAATCCAATATAACAATTGAGAGACCGAATTCCTATCACTCAGGTAGTTCTTCTACTTCTTTAGCCTCATGTTTAAGATGCCTAAATTCAGGCCAAACTGTATCATCTCATACAAAAGCTGTTGATGAAATAAACTATGATTCAGAACCACAATGTTCACGTAATTCTGTTACATCAAATATATCAAAGTTAAAATATTTTGATGATACAGATACAAGTAATTTATTTGTAAATGTACAGAAAGATACATTTAAAGATCGTCTACTTTATTTTCCTACAATAAGTAATCAATTATTGTTGACAAATCCTACTAAACGTCCATTTTATTCTAATCATAATAATTCTGATGAGATTGAAAAATATGATAGTACTAGTGCAATTGATGCTAAATTTTCACTACCAAAAAAAGAATTGAAATTTGCTGTACCAGAATTTTTAATGCCCATTATAGATCGTCGTACATCATCACAAATATTTAATGTTAAACAAATATCGGCATCAACATTAAATATTGAAAATAAATTGTTGAAAAGACGAAAAACTATTAAAGAACGTTTCAAACAATTACACAGTGATTATGATGGTAGTAAATTTTGGAATAAATTAAATAAAAATTTTAAAATGAATAAAGTTAAAAACTTGTCCAATACTAGATCAAGATCAAGTATGGCTATTTCCATGGATTATACACATCATAAAGATTCTGTTTCACGATCTAGTATTACATCATGTGATGATTGTAGACGTATTACCATTAATGTAAGTGGTTTAAAATTTGAAACATGGCTAACTGTACTTGAACGTCATCCAACCACTTTATTAGGTGATTACAATAAACGTAAACCATTCTATGATGAATATCGTAAAGAATATTTTTTCGATAGGCATAGGCCTAGTTTTGAAGCAATATTTAATTATTATCAATATGGTGGTCGATTAAAACGACCAGCTACAGTATCTGATGATGTCTTTCTTACTGAATTAGAATTTTTTCAAATTGAATCTGAAGCATTAGATGTATATAAAAAAAATGAAGGTTATGTACCGGATATTATTGTTTTACCAGAAAATTTAATAAAACGTAAATTATGGATGTTATTTGAATATCCAGAAACATCTATCTTAGCATTTACCTTTTCAATGGCATCATTTATTTTTACTGTTATTTCTATTATATTATTTTGTATTGAAACATTACCAGTATATGCTCAAACACATTGTGAACCTGGAACAAAACCAAATTTTCGTGATCCATTTTTTATTATTGAAACATTATGCACATTTTGGTTTACTATAGAAATTTTTATACGTTTTATTAGTTGTCCAAGTCAAAAAATATTTATTAAAGATATTAAAAATTTAATTGATCTAGCTGCAATTGTACCATATTATATAACATTATTCAATGTTTTAATAACATTTAGTTGTGAAGGTGCAAAAAATAGTGCTAGTTTAGCATTTCTACGTGTAATACGTTTAATTCGAGTATTTAAATTAACTAAACATTCATCTGGTTTACAAGTACTTGTATTAACTTTTAAAGAAAGTATTGAAGGATTAAGTTTATTTCTTGTTGCATTTATTGTTTGTATATTAGTATTTTCTAGTACAATTTATTATGTAGAAATTGATAGAAAAGGTTCACAAATTGAAAGTATACCAGATGCATTTTGGTGGGCTGTCATTACAATGTGTACTGTTGGTTATGGTGATAAAGTACCAAAAGGACCATTAGGAAAAGTTGTTGGTAGTGTATGCGCTGTAGCTGGTGTATTAACATTAGCTATACCAGTACCAATTATTACAGAAAATTTCAATAAATTTTATGCTCATAAAACCGGTCGTGGTAGAAGATGAATGAATTTAGCATAATCTTTTTTCTTTATATTTCATTCAATTAATACAAATCATTTATAGATAACCTTACCATTCATAATTTTATCAAATTAGTTGTATCATTTTCATTCATGTAACCTTATTGTTACTAACAGTCTGTCTTTGACGATTAATTTCTTTTTTGTTTTGTTTTTAAATATTAAATCAATCAGTTACAATTCCATAAATACACATTCAAAGTATCATTTCATGTTTACAAAACGTCAACACTATTCCTCAGTTTGTTACTATTATTTCTACAAATGAATAAGATAGTCATAATAACTAAGATATAATTCAATTTGAATTTACTTTTCTTTTCTATCACTTCAATAAGTAGTATTTTTTGTTGTTGAATAATTCATGTATAGAATTTCAAACTGCGAATAACCTTCTAGCTTTCTTAACCCAAAAACAAACATTTGTACACATTTATTACATAATATCATAAATCAATGTAAACATTATGTAATATAGTATTCATTAGAAAACAGATTGAATAGTATAGATTCATTGTAAATGATTACAGCACTTATTATATATACATACAACAAATTATATTTTTATAATGATGAAACTGTTATAGATAAACTTGTATTGTACCATAAATAATACTCAAGTTTATCTTATGAAATAATGTTTTTTTATTTGAAAATAAATGATTACATAACTTCTTCAGACGTTTAATAAAACGATGAATAGACTGAAAACATACTTTTTACAATTAGTGTCAGAAGGAGTTTTGTGAATATTATAGTAGTTTTATTGGTTGGGATCATAAGTAAATTGAAGCTAGACCACCATGGAAGACCTGGAAGTACTAAACAGCAGTTTCGTCCTATTGTGGGACTCCTCAGTAGTGCGCATCCACGACCCCACACCCCTCGAGACTCGAACCCAGGACCTATCAGTCTCGTGTGCGAATGCTTAACCTCTAGATCACTGAACAAGGCATTCAACGGTGTTGATGTTTAACTCCAACTAATCCACGAAATTGAGCGAAACATCCACAATTGTCATCAGTGAGTTACTATTTCACAACCGATCCGGATGAACTCCACTGGTCATTGTTTCTCACTAGAACTACGGTAAACACCTCTTCAAGCCAGTCACTAGTGAGCATATGTTAATTAGTATCAGAAGGGATTTTGTGGATATCATAGTAATTTTAATAGTTAAGATCAATTAGTTTCACATCATGACTTTCATTTAGTGGTAATGTTATGTGTTAATTATACAGTATCATAGTGATTAAAAAATAATATTAAGTCATTGAAAGGAAGGGGGTTGTGATGATCAATGCATTTATTTGGAAAAATTTAACTAAATAGTTGCTATGTTACATAATATTTTGATGAAAGGTCAGTATTATTGTAACTATGCCGGAATTACAAGACGCATATTAAAAATATGTAAATATGTAAAAGTAGAAGAAATTAGAAAATTGTCTGAATATTTTTAGAAGGATTGTGTTAATATAAATTCAGCGAAAATTCATTCCTGTATCGATGGCCAAGTTTGATCACTACAGAAATGAGTATATTGTCCAACTACAGATTTTTTATGTATCTCTTCTCTTGATGTCCCATCTACTCTTCTTGTTAAGAGGATATTTAAAAACGATATGCTGTTACTCTGTTCTTCTTTAAGCGTAAATATAATAGACAGATCAATGTCCTTAAATTTATTGAGCAAATTGTCCCTTTCATTCTTGTCTTCTAATAATATGAAAGGATCATCTATATAACAGCCACGTTAGTCCACACTACAAGTTTCTTAAATTTACTCTTATCATTCAAAAGGACCTTCGCTCTATTTAAATAGTTTTATTTATCCATGTGAACTACACCATAACCTTAGTCTGATTTTGCGATTAACAAATTGTCGCCAATTTTTAGTCTCATTGATGCTTCATTGTTTTTTTGTCCAAAATCTGTTCCATCTATACATTTTTTGAGTACCTAAAGCAACAGTCCACTAGTATTGATTTTAATCTTATAAAATCATCTGATAGAATTACTAGTTCTACCGTTTGCGCACGTTTTTCGAATGGAATTTTAACATTCATTTCATGAACTGGTTTCTTCAAGTCACAAAGTTTGCAACCTAGTGACAAAGCTTCCAACTTAATCTCATTGAGATTAACACCGGAAACATTGTGCATGTACTGACCTGGATTAGAAGGAAATTTCATTTCTGGAATCTTTTTGTCTAGGATTTTATTAGTTTTAGTACGTTTCTTTTTTTGTGAATCAACCACCATCCTTGTGAGGTCCAAAAATTGTTGTTTTAAGTTATTAAGAAGTTCTTCAACGACATACATTATCTGACATTTTGTAGCATTACACTAGTATATGAATTTAGCCAATCGATTTGATTTAGTGCCTAAAGATAGAAGTCCTTCCATTTGTTCGAACGATGAGAAGATTTCTAGAATATGTTTGGATACAAATTGGTTTCCATTTAATCCTTTATAAAACCTATGATGAAAAACTGAATGGAAGGAAATTTATTCTCTCTGTTCGTCTGTTTTTTTAAAAATCGATTATCAGTAGTAACATCAGTAGTCTAGTCAAATTAAGTTTAGTTGTCATAGTTAAATTAATCAAATAATACTTTTCAAATGAACAACAATTAGAATACAAAACAAATAATTAGGAAATTTTATTTTCTATTAGTGAACTAAAATGCATACAAACTACTTAGTGACAATCTATAACTCTGTGAAATAAAAGTTTTTTGTAGATTAGTCATCAACTATGTGACTATTAACTTTCAATCTTTTACACTATTTCATATGATATCGAGTAAAGTCTTGTTTGAATGGTAGAATTAGTTTTTATCCTTAATTTAAAACCATCATTTTCCTAAGTAAATTTGGTAGCAAGAATAATTCAAGGATATTGTTCTTTATCAATACTTTAAAATCTTGTGTAACCAAGATCCTACGAAAAAAAAGTATTTCTTTCCAAAAACCTGAAATATCACAGAGTGTAATTACTACTTATCAACTTAGTAATAACATAAAAGTGCGATTGTTTATTTACTTGAAAAAGGAATACACTGAAAATTAATAATGAATTATATGAATTTTGAGTTTGACTGGAAGCGGCCTCATTTATCTTTTTTTTTGTTTTTGTTTTGAGAATAATAAATAGTACACTAAGATTTATGCTATAAAATTCTTTATTAATGATAAATAGTGTTAGTAAATCTTTATACAGAGAAGCTGACTACATTTGACGGTGGATAAAAACATCTGAACATATTTGTATCATTGCTAACTTTGATGATGACATTAAAGTAACTGTATACTTGAGATATGTAGATAGAAATGTAATAAAGAAACGTAAGTAATTTTTTTCCCATATTTATAGTTTATATCATGAACCAACGTCATCTAGAATATCGTTAGAAAAGTGGAAACAACTGGACTGTTATTTCGTTCTTATATGACAGAAATCCTAGCTGACAAGTCTGTTTCGTGTTAGGAGTAAAACAGATACCTACCAAAAAAGCGAATAATGTTTTACGTATATCATAAAGGTCTTGGCTTTTGCTCGATAGAGAAAGAGCTGCTTCGTGTTTTCTTAATTCTATCAGTTATCTAGTTAACATTAATCCATTATAAAATGTACAGACTGAAGAGTTCCAATAAACCGCCTGTGTTAATCATAATTATCTGTTAACTATTTAAAGAACGTCATAACTTTGGTTGATCAGAAGCAGTAGCTATTTAGCTTAAAATAAAGGTTCTGGTATATAATAGACGTTGTCAAAATTAATCTACAAAACAATAAAAACTTGTGTGTGTTTAAGCAATTTGTCATATTGGACTTATTTATTTTTCCTATGAATACGTCATTCTCGTAAAATTGACTCGAAATTCATCAATATCAATGTTAAATCAAATGGAGTCTTATAATTGCCAAAAAAGACATTTAGTATCTTGACTTTTGTGGTTTGGGCGTAAAATATGAAACAGACACGTTACGATCCTATTTGTAAAGTATGTTTCTACATGATGATGTTATACTTACTAATTTACGTGATTACAAATGAGCGAAAATCTACTGGAAAATAAACCAGTAAAGCCTTACCATCTTGTGACATATCAACATAATTTAAATTTTGGTTGAGATCAAAAATCGTTCCATTTTAGACCATCATTGAAAACCTGGGAATACTGGACGGTCGTTTCGTCTCAGTATGGAACTCCTCAGCAGTGCACACACACTATTCTGAACGTGGTACTCTTACCCTGGACCTTCGGTTTCGTGCGTTAACTTCTGAATTTCAAACCACTGAGCCGTCATTCAACGGTCTTAATGTTTAACTTCAATCAATCCGCGATACTATGCGACCATCGTTCACTGTCTTCGGTGGGTCTTACATTCTATATGGATTCGCTCCACTAGTCACTGATTCTCACCAGAACTTCGAGAATCACCTCTCGAATCTATTCATTAGTAAGCACATGATGACTATTAGTGTGGGTTTGAAATTAGACTTTAAGACCAATGGATGTCAGCTGAGTGGTCTGGAAGTCAGAAGTTAACGCACGAAACCGATGATCCAGGGTTAGAGTCCTATGTTCGAAATCGTGTATGTGCACTGCTGAAAGGTTCCATACTGAGACGAAATGGCCGTCCAGTATTTCTAGGTTTTCAAATGATGATCGAACACTGATCGATTCTTGATCTCAATCAAAACACAACAATCTCCACAACCTTATAATGATAACTTAAATTGGTAGTTAATTTATTGATATATTTGAGATACTATTTTTTAACTTAGAAAATTACCATTAGTTTTAGCTTTCAAGAGAAGTTGCTTACATAAAAATAATCATTAGATTTATGATGATCTATCAACAGTTGTTATTTCACAAAATGATCACTCTTATTGAGTTGACAGAAATCCCGATCATTTGTCAAATGGTTCTAACAAATTACTTCATACTTATTCGACAAACTGAAATATAAATAATTCATTAAACGAAATAGAATGGTTGTAATTTCCATAGACATTTACTCTACATTTTTTACATACAAATACAAAAATGCAGTTTGTCATCATATATGTAGGTGATATATTTGAAAGTATATAACTCATGTTTGATTTGAGATGTTAAATTGTAACTGGTATTTACAGTTGAAGTGATTTTTGCTTTCAAAATAAAAGTTTAAATATTTGTGAATGTAAGAATGATAGCGTCTTTGTGTTCTGTAACAATTACACAATTCTATAGTATCATTCCCTAGTAAAACATGCTGTAAGCTATCATATACCCTTTGTAATTTGTTATATATTTAGGTACCATTGGGGCAAAGAAAACTATTTGTTTATAGTTTAAGTAAATTAAACCCAGAAAATGAATGACAATCACATCATACAGAAAAAAGAAATTGTATACATTCCAGAACAGTGCTAAGAAACAGTTACTGCTAGATAAAGATATTTGTTCAATTAAAAAATTAAATAATATCTTTATCGAAAAGACATATTTTTAATTCCTTTGTTTCTCACATGTCTCATCGGTATCTCAAAAACTTTGTCATAAGCATACACTTCCATTTATAGTTACGAAATCAACGAGAAGTGGGTTAGAAAGATCAATCCTTTTAATTGTCCTTTATTGTTGGATGAAAATTCGAATGTGAATATTCCCATTAATT